GATCCTGTAGTTGTGTCCCAGCTGCATGTTGATTAGGGATGAAGTTGTAATTTATTTGTTAGTTACTAGTTTAGGGAATGTAGGGGTGGTGCGTATCGCAAAGTATGTGTCTTTGTTAATTGGTTTACGCCGGTTATATATCCCTTCTTCTGAACATGACGCATGCGCGTTAAAAGTACAGTTCATGCATTAAAACCATTCTCTATGTTGCAAGCCTGAATAAAAGCTACGGCATGACCTTACTATAGCGATAGTTATTATGTAGTTAGAGCTGTAAATGAGAACAAAACGAAAAGGAAAGAGAAAACCAGAGTCAAGCTCATAACGAGACTAATTTGTAAATTTATCTCCGTAACTATACTCTTACGTTATGTCAATACCATTCAACTACGGGAGCTGATTTGATTCGAAATAAGCTTATTATCATCACGTATATCCCACATAGTTAATATTTCGTTTTCAAGACCCCACAAGAAGGGATCGCAGAGAAGGTAAGATTATATAATAAAGGCATAATATGAGAAATGCCTTTTATTTGTTTCACTGWGGTGTTGCCTTACAGATAACAATCGCAGCTCTGACCCTTACCTATAATTGATGACCCAATATAGCATTTGAAGGCCCAATGTAGGATTACCTTTTCGGCTAAAATTGATTTTCTCTCGTCGTGAAATAAAATTTAGATAAAGATATTTACCGACAGACAGTTAAAACAACATCAACAATGAGTTTTTAATTTGTTTAGAAAATGTGACGCTTTTAGTGGTCATTAATTGAACAATAGAAATTGTTAAGGATCAAACAATCGTCAGTTTAGATATTTGTCAAACTACAAGGTTCTTTGTTCTTTTAGGTAAAAATCGAGTCTTAAGCTTGATTTTCAAAGAGCGACAGCTTTTAAAACTCTTCTGCGCAGATTCGAAAACCTTCAATTTTTTTGGATCTCTTTTATGAGGCAACAGTAGTTGAAAATAATCATTTTGCAATGAAATTGTAATGTAAGTTAGTTTTTTTGACCTTTTTGAAAGAGTTCAACTAATCTGTTTTATGCATATGCTTCACTTGCCCGGTCAAGTTATTTCTTTAAAGTCCTCTAGACGAATATATGCAGTGGCCATTTGAGTTTCTAATACATAGGCAACCTAACTTTAACATTGCAGGCTTGTGTAGATTTGTGGAGACTTGCAACATACTTTGTTCACTACAGCTGAGGTTTTCATCCAAATGAGAATCTCACGCAGAGTCTGAAAGAAACCCTCCAAAACACCTGACTCCGCTGTTGATTGATAACTCGTCTTAATATCATATCATTTAGATTCCTCTAGCATCTTTTGATTGTAGCATCAACCCTGAAATAAAGGAACATGTCGATTCGTGTAGTAGACGGCTAGTCTATACATAAGCATGGAGGACTCACAAAAAACATGTGACAGATAGAAAGATAAGATGCAACATGTATCACCAGAGAAAGGTGAGCCCACAAGACAAAGAGGAACCTAGACGAGAACCGTGCAGAAGCAACATGGCGAGGAGCCCCGACTTTTTGCAACAATCCTTTGTCAAAAAGACAAAAGAGAACGACTTACAAGATATAGGAGAAGACAATTTGAGTGCTTTGGAGCTCTACCTACATGATTTGGGTCACGAAAGAAGGCCAGAGAGTAGAAAGAATGTTATATTAGACAGTCTAAGCAATAATATCCAACCTTCCACAAGTTACACCCCTAAAAATGATGGTCGCAAGAAGCAGGAGAAAGAACAAAATCATCCTAGGACAAAAAAATCCTTTCAAAGATGCTGTTCATCTTTCATGATTGGGATAGTCATTGTCGTATCTCTTGCATCTCTGTTCATCAATGTGCTCATGATCAAAGGAACTATTGTCCCGAGTGGATGCCAGAGAATTGAGAATAGAAAAGGTTTGTATTATGCCTTGAATACTGTTGTTTCTCCAAAGTTACTTAATATCCATCAATAAGCAATTCATGGGTTTTTGCATAAGATTAATCTCCTTAGATGTAGTTCTGGCTAGCCTTGAAAATGAAGACATAACAACAAACCAATAAATGAATATTAATATGCATCCTTGCACGCATCCCGCCTGATAACCTTTATTTGATATTCCCGATAGTAGGTCGATCTTGTGATTTATATTCCTCATTCTGGAATAGTCGAAAGAAAATGAACCTGAAGTTAAGCAAATACCGTGCACAACCATATTACATTTTTGATGTCTTTCCATTCTTATTTTTAGCAATTGGCACCATTTCAAATATCGTTTTAAGAAGAAGTTAATCACTTTACTCCTACGACTAAAGACTTTTTACCCACAGGGCAGAACGGTGGGTGTGTTAGAAGGTTTGCCTTACGCATGCACAGGACTCAGCATGGGTTCAATTTCTAGCCTTAAATGTTTTGTCCTCTAAGACAAAGCACCGGAGCAGTATCTCCCAAGAAATTCGGCGCATGACATTTGTTTCTGAGTCGATCTTAAAAGTTCAGACTATTTATACTTAAGTCGGTTTTACTGACCTTTTTGATGACCTTTTTAGAAAGAAACGTGACGTCAAAGTGATCATGACAAAAAACATGAGGTAGTTTCGTCGCAGCATGACAAGTAACTTTCAACTGCTTGTCACAATAAATGTTAAAAAGTCATTAATCATTTTGAATAATAAAATTATGTAATCTGAGTGCCGTTAGGAACCAGGCCTAACCAAATATTGTCCATCAGTAGACAAAACTAGACGCATATCTGCGTGAACTCGGGCTTCATAGCAGAAAATCGAAAGAATTCTTCGTGAACACTGTCATCCTTCTGACGAAACCTTGAAAAATTCCGCCATTGCTCGACCATGTGCTTATGTGGCGCATACTACGCACGCGCATAGAACTTGCGCATGCGCTTTGAACGCAACTGCGATTTGTGACAGAACGCAAACAAAGCCCAATTTATACCTCAGGCATTTCTTTGAAAGCCCGAGTAATGAATGGCTCTAAGCATCTTTGGAGCTATAAAGAACGAAGCATACATGGCAGTAAATTGTTTTTGTTCTTCCTTTGCATATTTCTGCTTTTTGTACGAACTTATATTATATTTTAGTTAAAAGAAAACAGAAAAATACGCAAATGGGTTACAGTGGCCTGGGTATAAGGGAGGCGGCAACGCAGCTAAACGCGCTTTGATTGGCTGAAACAAATTTCATCGCTCAGCTGGAATGACATACTTATATAGTGATTTAATTTAATGTTGTCCTCTTTAGCTAAATTACGGTTTACTGCACTACAAAAAGTGTAAATAATATCGGTAGCCAACGGAAGAGATTATAACTACGTTGACAGGTCGATAGGTCTTGTACAGGAAAAGAGGTTATTAACGGGTTAATTGAATATTCAAAAATAACAATTGGTTAGTTTTAATCCTTCCAGTTGTACAGGAATTTAAGTATTTATTATCAGTGGCATTTGTGTTGTTGGGGT